GTTATATTCTCTCTTATATTCACTTATCTTAAAAGAAAACAAATTAAAACTCTAAGCAAGATAGCAAACAAATTGATAATTAATAAGTAAATATTCTAAGACGTGCTTCTTATTATTTCTTAGTTATTACGTTAATTAATGGGCGATTTACGGTTTACGATTTATACTAAGCTAATCATATGCTAGAGTTTAATAAGGTATGATCTTCTAGCAGAACAAATTTTAATTATCTTATAGACGCTATTTGAGTCGATTCTTCATTTAGGCAATCCTTTTTCACTTATAATATTGATAAGTTTGCAGAAGAAGGAGGGAAATCTAGTCACTAGTAACGTATTAAAAATCTCCTAATGGTGCTCCAAAAGTGTACCTTTTCATCAAGATATTAAAAAAATTTGGTTTTTAATTTCATCAAATCAGTCATCTTACAAAATATTTACATTCTGTCTAGACGTTTTTCTTGTTATTTCTTTGAAGTATTAAAAACAAAACATGTTTTAATCAAACCCAAAATATTCCATGAAAACTGCCACTAAAATATCTTCAGCAAACTCTGCTGGATGTATAATTACGTTATTGTATTAGTATTTTCAAGAATTTTTAAAAGATATTTTCAACCTAGGCTCGTTTTCATTTCTGATTTGTGAGTGTATTGTATCACACTCTTCCATGGTGTCCTCTGCGTAACAACAAATCTGAATAATAATGAAGAATGACACCAAGTGCCAAAGATAAATAAATCATGATCTTCTTATATTAAAAATTATAAACATTTTGTAAGTGTTTTTCATGTCGATTCTTCATTTTGGAAATAAATTTATGTATTCTTACATAACAATCAGAGAAGTAACTAACTGAAAGGAGGAAAACAAATAACAAAGACGAAAATATTAAAACTTTCTTAAGGATAAAAACGGTTTTTATTTCTTGACCAAGAAATTAGTTTAAAATTCCAGAATAGATAACTTCTTCAAGTGATACTTATTAAAATACATTTTTGTTTGGTGTCTTTATTTATTTTTAGGGTTAAAAACAAAAAAAGTTTTAAAAACTTGGGATATGTAAGACAAACCGGTGGAAGCTTATTAGTATTTCCAAATGGTTATGATTGTAAAAGCTTGCTAAATTCAGAGCAAGTGCCTAAAAAGGCAAAGGTTTTTTGTTATGTTACGTCAATACTTTGTAATATAGGTAAAAAGGATAACTATTTCTTATTCCGAAGAATCAAAGAATTTCATTCCATAAATTATTCAATCAATTCCATCTTTACAACATATAAAGAATCTTAAAAAATATAGTCAACAAAATTACCGAGAAATCGTGCGAACTTATTAAGCAATACTAATTAGAAAAGTTATTGTAAAAAATTAATAAGCTATTCTTGTTTTTAAAATTTTTTTAATTATTTATTTTCAAACATAAAAATTTATTCTTTTTAAAAAAAAGTTTCATAATTTTGCAATTATTCTTAGCCTCTATCTATATCTATAGCACAATTATCCCAAATTCCTTTTAATTATTTAATTCTTTATTGTAATAATCATTAAAATTACTTTACTATAAAGAGTAACTTTTTTATTCATCTTCCTAAATAATTATTAAATATGTATTATTAATTATGTAAAAATAATTATTTTGCAGAATCACTTAAAAAATGTAACCAACCAGAATTCTCTAATTTGATTAATTAAATGCAATTTAAATTAATTTTTAAATAAAATAACGTAAGTGAATTTTCTAAATTATTATTTTAAAAATGATTTCAAATTATTAGGTATAAATAAAAAAAAAATATTTTTTTTTGGCTGAATTTTTTTAAAATTTGATATCGTTATTAAAAAATAACTTTTTAATGGTGTATTTTATATAATTCTAATTTTCATTCTCATATGATATATTAAAAAAATATATTTCATTTGTTTTTAAAAGTCTTTCAAGAAAAATAATTTACAACCATCAAAAATATTTTAAAGTAAAAATAAAATTAAAAACTAGAGTGTATATATCTTCACTACAAGTCTCTTTTTAATTTCATTCAACAACACGGACAAATTTTTCTAATTTTGAATTGTATCCTATATTATGATGCGAGATTTTCTAAATGAAACAACTGCCGAAAAGTTTCAATATTCAGTTCAACTTTTGAATGAAATCTCAGAGAAATTCAAAAATGAAGTGCTTTTCGATTTTCTATCTTTGGAAAAATGATTGTCAAAATCAATTTAACAACTTTAAAGAAATCAATCAGAAAAGATATCAGTGTCATGTTATATTTTGTGCTAGATTAAAACTAGAATTTCATAAAAGAGACTGACGAATGCGTAAGAGGAAAGGAAATATAAAATGATGTAGGAATTTGTTTGAAAATGTTGAATAACAATATGAATTTTATTGATAAAACTCATGAATATGTATTTGATTCCATTTTTAAATTTAATGTATAAACTTCACTTTTTAAATATGCAATATTACCTAAACTAATTTTTGTAAAGGCTTTCAATAAACCTATTTTAAAAATTTAAAAAACCAATCATAATAGTTATTAAGAATAATAAAAAAAATTATAATTGCTAAAAATTTAATTTATATCGTTTTTAAAATATCTCCAATATAAAATTTATAACTTTTTTTCAGACATTTTAATTTGAATTCTTTAATATTCTTTCATTTGAATTCTTTATTTAATTTGAAGAAAAATTTTTAACGATTCTAAAAAATTCGAAAGAAAAACATTTTAAATTTCTAATAGAATTCGTAAAAAAAAAAATTTAAAAAACCATCTCATTTATTTAATTTAAAAACCTTCTCATCTCAAGAAATAAATTACAATTTTCTGATAACATTTCTAATAAAAAAAATGTATATAATTTCTAAAAGACTTAAACTTTATGATAGATTTCTTATTGAAAAATGTAATACTTTCTAAAAGAATACTTAGGAAAAACTAAAAATTTTCTTTGAATTTGTTTCAAGAAATATTTTCAAAAGACTTTGTGAAAAGTTTTGCATAAAAAAAAAACCCATTCACTTCTAAAGAGGTTTAAAAGAGAAAAATAGAACAAGAAATCAAAACTTAAGGAAGAGAAATAGAACATTTAATAAAAATTTCAGAATGTTTTCAGAATATAAATCAATTGCGATTGTCACGTGAGTTGTAAGTTAACAAAAAGGTATTAAAGTTTGGTATTTTTGGAAGCTCAGAGATTGAAATTTCTTAATAATGCTCCACATCTAACAAAAGCTAAACAGCAGTATTTTCAACAATTCTGTTTAACAATTTGATGTGAGGTTTCCATCAAGTTGAGATAATTTAATTATTTTGAAATATGAAATGATACACCATGTTTTTAATCATAGACTGCAGATAACACGATAACTGACTGGGTCGTATATGTACTACTATATCTCGTATAGGTACTAATCTGATTGTCATGTGATTTAAAAAAATTCACATCACGTTGATTTTTTTAAAATTTTAATTTTCAACGATGGTTCCGATATTTGAATAATTGTTGGTCATAATGTCAGGAAAGAACATCTGGTTCGATTTCTGCACCTGGGCAACTTTTTTAAGAATTTTTGAAAGAATTGCACTTGAATTAGTAAATAATAACAAAACATGTTATACACTGTAATGTGTAATACTTTTTGTAACGTTCTTACGAAATGTTTTAATTCAACCTTAAAATGACTTGTTTACATCTAGCTTAAATTGGATCAATTTATAGTGTTATAGTTATAAGAGAGCCTGAATGACCTAGTGACTAGCGTTCTAACGCTCGATTTACTAGGTTTGGAGTTCGAATCCAGGCAGTGCCATGGATGTTTGTAGAGGTTCGAAATGGACTTTAAGCCTAGGTACCGGTCGGTCAATATGACTGTAGAGCGTTGAGCTGACAGCCCTACCCCGTAAAAAAAAAAAAATCAGCTAGCTAAGTCAGGCGCATGAAACCGCATGGGATCATGGGATAGGTCTAGATCCAAGTGGGATAAGAAACAACAACAATAATTATAATAACGACCACTTTTTTTATTTGTTGTTGTTGTTCGCATGTAATTCAAATTTCTAGTATTTTGTAAACAGTGAAAAACACAAATATATTTTATATTTTAGAATATAAAAATGTTTTTTTCGGGGGGAGGGGGGTATTTTAGACGATGAATCAGATAAGGAATCAGCGCCTTCTTAATTCTACTTAATTTAATACAAAAAGAATTATTCAAGAAGAGCTATCTTATAGCAATAAAATTTTGTTTGAATATGACTTTGATACAATATTAAAATTATTAAATGTCATAGAGTAATGAAACACATCTGATTCGCCAGACCAGCGAATTGAATATCTGGATGCAATGTAAATGATGAGACTCTATAAGGGCACAATTTCTGTTTGAATTTGGTTCTGTCTAGTAACTTGGCAGCACCATTAATTCACTTCACAATAAGGCTTGAATAATCATTAAAAAAAGTAAACAAATTATTACCTTTGTATATATTATAATGACTAGATAATATATTTATGCAGTTTTCGTGTAATGCTGAAATTTGTCGATAATCGCCTCAGTAATTTGGACTTAATTTTAATGTTATATTAGTTAGAACGTGCGCTGATTATTAGAAAAGTAACGCTACTTTATAAGCATTAAAAATTGCCTTAAATCAGCTAAAATTTATATCGATAGCAAAATATTATTTATACTCGTAAGGTTGGTTTGCCAATGATTTTAGAAGGAGAGAATTTTTTTAAAAAATAAATATGACATATATTCGAAAAAATTTTATAGAATTAAAAAGAATAAAGAAAAATAAAAATAAAGTAAATGTGTAGAATAAGAAAAGTAAAAGATTCATTCAAAATTTTATCTGAAATGATTTCAGAAAAACAAGCATTTAACCAAAACTTTTATTTTGTGGTAAATACTTTGCTCAGTATCAAAATTTTTACAGGTAGAAACAGAAATATACTAACAAAATTAGTCTATATGGATGCTTACTCGTGTCCAGGATGGCCGAGTGGTTATGGCATCAGACTCCAAAATGCTTTATGTACCTCATATAAATTTGACGATCACTGTAGTTAAAAATATGCAAATCTGATAACAACAAATCCCTGCATGAAGAGGTGAGATGAGAAGAAGAAGAAGAAGAAGATTAAAGAAAAATATAATCAACTCAAAAAAATAATTAAGTGCACGGACTGTTTGAATCTTGATCCTTAATCTTGCTCCAGATTGCGGATCAAGATTCACACAGTGGTAGGTCCGGTATGAATCGGCGATTAGATCCTGAACTTAAGAAAATTCGGATAAGCATGATATGTTGAAGATTGCTTTGTCATTTATAGCGGGCATGTAAAGCAAATGAGGGTATCTGGTTCCTGTTGCAGTGGGAGCGCAGGTTCGAATCCTGCTCTTGGACGATGTATTTTTGTTTTTAATATCTGATGAAATAATAGTTGCACAAGCCAAAAAAAAACCTTAAATAATTTTTTTAAGTTAAGTTTACAGCTGGAAAACCCGTAAAGGGCTATTCTGAAAAAGAGTAGTTATGTTTTTAAGGAAAGGGGAAGTTTTTACGAAGGAGCTTATGATGCCATGCAGATGGTTAACATGATTAATTAACAATTAACTCAAAATTTTTGCTTACGGAACCGAGATTTTTAGTTCAATTGATTCAGTGGGCTAAAATTGGAATTTCGAACAATTTTTGTCACAAATAAAAAGTTAAAAGTAGTGCGCCTGTACAAAAGAGTTATCATAAACTAATTGCATCATTCTAAATAGATTGCGTAAAAAATATCTTAGATTCCGTAATGGAAATTTTTTTTTTTATTTAACTGCTAATTAACCATGTTAATTAATTTTGTTAATAGATTGCGTTGCTCGATAAATTAGTTATCTTCAAGCCATTTCCAACTATACCTTTTATGTGAAGATCTAATAATAATTACAGAAGTCGTTAAGGGTGTCCTGTGCTGTTCTTGGTTGACTGTGCACATAATTACGTCGGAGTGCAAGTTGTTTTCAACGTGCTATACAGATATGGTCAAAAATTTTTTTATTTAATTGTTTTGATGTTATTTGACAACAGATTGACAAATGCTGAATTCGATCATTAGCAGCAATTCTGCATAATTTAAACCTAAGATATATCTAAAAATTAATTATTATATAAAAACTTTATCTTCTGCTCCTTATATATTTGAATTTATGTGATGTAACTGTGCATTCATTTTGTACAGGTTTGAATCGATTCGCTCTTCCTGTTAATGTTAATTACCTTTATCTGAAAAATTACGAAAATATTTCAGAAATAAATATACATAGACAGATATATTCATATATATATACACACACACGCAGTTATATAAGTCTCTCTCTTTTGTGTGTCTTTGTGTGTGCATGTGTGTGTGTGTGTGTGCATGTGTATGTGTGTGTGTGTGCATGTGTATGTGTGTGTGTAAACCTGGAAGCTAATAAGAGTTTTAGTTGAAAGTCAAGTAGATTTTATTGATAAGGGAAAAGACATGAATTTATTTACATTAGTTTGAATATTTTAAAAGGATTTAAAAGTAGAGTCCCGGTTAGGAAAGACAATGGCAGAGAGAAAAGCTGCGTGCACTAGCTGTGAAAGTGTTCATGCGTCTGCGTCAAAACAAACAAAATGATGTAGACATCAATAAATGTAGTCTGTTTAATAGTTATCTTGTAGAGGACATAGCTGAGAACCATAAAGTAGCAATACATTATATCAGTTAAAAGTTGCTGTTACTAGAATACGGATGTTGTTAGAAAAGTTGCTGTTACTTGCGAAACTAAGTTTAATAGAGGTTAGTGTAGCAACTGAATTTGTTAGATCGAGAATCCAGAAAGAGCAAAACAAGTGTTATTACAGAGTATACCCCCATCTGAAAGATACTGGCATGCAATGCTTGCACCGCAAAACAGACGCATCACATTGTGAAGAGAGAATTCTAAACTAGAACCCATGAATTATTAAATTTAAAATAATTTAGAATTATTTATAAATAACGCAGTGGAGAACAATTGAAGTATACAAAATATTTTAACCATATAAAGCAATTAATGTTGAAGCAGATTAACATGATAAAGCAAGTTTGGATTATCACAGCGTGAATAATGAAAGATATTACAATTATTATAGAATAGTAAAACAATTTTCTCATAAATAATTAACATGCAAACAAATTGAATAGAAATTCTTCTCAATTTCAATTTAAATTACTTTGAAATAGTTCATGGAGTATCTGTAAATTTTATTTGGAAAGTTGTATATTTTTTGGGGAAAGTCTTTTGTCTTTAGTTAGTTATACTGAAGAATCAAAATGAATCTCTTTCCAGCATCAATATGATATGGGACACGACAAAGAAGACTTCGTATTTATTTTTAACAAAAATTGGATAATATTAATTAATCAATGAAATGGGCTTAACATCTTTATTTTTGACACTCTGAAGATCCATATTGTCAGGTGTGGGTGTAAACGTGTACTCAATTATCCTATACAGCATTATCATCATAATAGCAAATATTTTTATCAATTTTCTACATTGAACATATTATTTTCATTAGTTACTTTTTTCTCCCATTGTACATTATTTTTTTTTTTTTGTAATACTGAATTCGTGACGTTTCGAGGATAGCAGAATGGTTAAGATATCAAGCTATAACATGCTTCGTGCGTCTACTATGACTTATGACTTTTTGAACTTTTGTAAGGTTCTTACGATATGTTGTAATTCAACTTTAAAATGACTTGAGTTACCTCTAGTTTAAATTGGATTAATTTCTGGTGTTATAATTATAAGAATTGTTGTTTGTTTATTTTTTGTTGTTGTAGTTGTTGTTCTTGGGTTGTAACTCAAATTTTTAGTATTCTGTAAACATTGAAAAAAACACAAATATATTTTATATTTTACAATATTTTCTTTTGAGGAAGGGGGATTTTAGACGCTGAATCGGATAAGGAATATGTCCCTATTTAATAATACTTAATCTAACACAAAAAGAACTATCCAAGAAAAGCTATCTTATAGCAATAAAATTTGTTTGAATATGACTTTTGATACAATATTAAAATTATTAAATGTCATAGAGTAATGAAACACATCTGATTCGCCAGACCAGCGAATTAAATATCTGGATGCAATATAAATGATGAGACTCTATAAGGGCACAATTTCTGTTTGAATTTGGTTCTGTCTAGTAACTTGGCAGCACCATTAATTCACTTCACAATAAGGCTTGAATAATCATTAAAAAGTAAACAAATTATTACCTTTGTATATATTATAATGACTAGATAATATATTTATGCAGTTTTCGTGTAATGCTGAAATTTGTCGATAATCGCCTCAGTAATTTGAACTTAATTTTAATGTTATATTAGTTAGAACGTGCGCTGATTATTAGAAAAGTAACGCTACTTTATAAGCATTAAAAATTGCTTTAAATCAGCTAAATTTATATCGATAGCCAAATATTATTTATACTCGTAAGGTTGGTTTGCCAATGATTTTAGAAGGAGAGAATTTTTTTTAAAAATAAATATGACATATATTCGAAAATTTTTATAGAATTAAAAGAATAAAGAAAATAAAAAAATAAAGTAAATGTGTAGAATAAGAAAAGTAAAAGATTCATTCAAAATTTTATCTGAAATGATTTCAGAAAAACAAGCATTTAACCAAAAACTTTTATTTTGTGGTAAATACTTTGCTCAGTATCAAAATTTTTACAGGTAGAAACAGAAATATACTAACAAAATTAGTCTATATGGATGCTTACTCGTGTCCAGGATGGCCGAGTGGTTATGGCATCAGACTCCAAAATGCTTTATGTACCTCATATAAATTTGACGATCACTGTAGTTAAAAATATGTAAATCTGATAACAACAAATCCCTGCATGAAGAGGTGAGGTGAGAAGAAGATGATGAAGAAGAAGATTAAAGAAAAATATAATCAACTCAAAAAAACAATTAAGTGCACGGACTGTTTGAATCTTGTTCCTTAATCCTGCTCCAGATTGCGGATCAAGATTCACACAGTGGTAGGTCCGGTATGTATCGGTGATTAGATGCTGAATTTAAGAATATTTGGATAAGCATAATATGTTGAGGATTGCTTTGTCATTTATAGCGAGCAAATAAAGCAAATGAGGGTATCTGGTTCCTGTTGCAGTGGGAGCGCAGGTTCGAATCCTGCTCTTGGACGATGTATTTTGTTTTTAATATCTGATGAAATAATAGTTCCACAATTCAAAAAAATAAACCTTAAATAATTTTTTTAAGTTAAGTTTTCAGTTGGAAAACCCGTAAAGGGCTATTCTAAAAAGAGTAGTTATGTTTTTTAAGGAAAGGGGAAGTTTTTACGAAGGAGAAGTGAAAACTTTATCTCCTGCTCCTTATATATTGAATGTATGTGATGTAAATGTGTATTCATTTTGTACAGGTTTGAATCGATTCGCTCTCCCTGTTTATGTTATTTATCTTTATCTGAAAATTAAGAAACTGTTTCAGAAATTAATATACATAGGCAGATATATTCATATATATATATATTCACACATACACAGTTATATATGTTTCTCTCTATATGTGTGTAACAACCTGGAAGCTAATACGAGTTTTAGTCGAAAGCCAAGTAGATTTTATTGATAAGAGAAAAGGCATGAATTTATTTACATTAGTTTGCATATTTTAAAAGGATTTAAAAGTTGAGTCCCGGTTCGGAAAGGCAACGGCAGAGAGAAACGCTGCATGCACCAGCTGTAAAAGTGTTTAAGCGTCTGCGTCAAAACAAACAAAAATTATGTAGACATCAATAAATGTAGTCTGGTCAGAGGACCTTGTAGAGGGAGGATCTTGTAGAGGGCAGACCTCAGAACCATAAAGTAGCAATAAATTATATCAATTAAAAGTTGATGTTACTAGAATACTGCTGTTGTTAGAAAAATTACTGTTACTTGAGAAACTAAGTTTAATAGGGATTAGTGTAGCAGCTGAATTTGTCAGATCGAGAATTCAGAAAGAGCAAAATGGGTATTATAGAGTATACCCCCCTGTGAAAGAGACTGGAATGCAGTGCTTGCACTGCAATTCACACTCGTCACAATGTGAAGAGAAAATTCTGAAGTAGAACCCATGTATTATTAAATTTAAAATAATATAGAATTTTTACAAAAATTATAGCCTAATGCAGTGGAGAACAATTGAAGTATACAAAATATTTTAACCATATAAAGCAATTATTGTTGAAGCAGATTAACATGATAAAGCAAGTTTGGATTATCACAGTGTGAATAATGAAAATATTACAATCATTATAGAATAGTAAAACAATTTTCTCATAAATAGTTAACATGAAAACAAATTGAATAGAAATTCTTCTCAATTT